GTTGGTCGTCACGGCCTTGAGGTTGGGAGCAGCAACACGCTCACCGAGCCAGGCGCATTGCATCTAATTCCCATCAGCCTGTTTGTTCTCAAATGATGACAATCCGATGCCCGATTTTCAAACGTACCTTGGTAGTGGGCACAGCCCAGACCTTGAAGTTGTAGGGCCTCATGAAAAGGTCGGCGATACCGGTGCCCATCATGCGAACAATCCACTCGTCAAAGGTCTTGGGCTTGGTGTTGGCGACACGAGCCTCAAGAGCGGCATCGATCATGCCATCGATGCACTTGACCTGCTCCTCCTTGGGAAGCATGGAAATGTTGTTCTGGAAAGGATAGGGGACCCATTGGCCCTGGCAGCGAACGTAGGAGATACGCTGGTGGGTGTACCAATCATCCTCCTTAGGAAGCGCCTCATCAATGCAGTCGTCGAAATACTTGTAGTGGGAGAAGATGACGTGACCACCGACATCGTAAAGCTAGGAATTTATTAGACCGTCTGTCTCGAATTCGGGATCAATTGATTGTCCTGTCAAAGGTAAACGTACGAATCCCTCGGGGGTCACATCGGTAGAAGCAAGACCACCAGGAGTCTCGTTGCTGTCAATAATCATCCATGAGGGGCCATCCTATTGTCGACATCAGCTACGCGATCAATTGCGCTGCGAAATCGGCATTGAAGGACGTACGATCTGGTTGAGACGCTTAGCAGCACCAAGACCAGTAGGTCCGGCACCAATGACGAGGACGTCGACGGAGCTGGAGGGAAAACCCGCGAGGTCAGTTTCACCGCAAGAAAACAACGTACCCCTGAAGAGCTTTGGGAGGGGAGAGTTCTTACATATCGGGGTGGGTCATCCTGCCTTGTAGGATATCCTGGAAGCTGGGAACGCGATTCAAAGTTCTGCGAGCGAGACTAAGCATAGAAAATGCCAAACTGCAGGAGACTGCAGAATATAAAGGAAAGCAAACGAGAGGGTTTGGGATGAAGACAGGAAGACGGTGAGAGAGAAGGAGGGGAGGAAAGATAGGTGTATCACAGAGCGGTCGGGAGAACGAAACGTGACAAACAAGCTGTGGGGAACGCCTGTTTCAAATTAAAGTCCTGAGGCCAATCAATAGTTAAAGGCCCCAGCAGTGGCAGATTGTACCTTAGTTGAGCCCTGAAAGGGGGAGGGGAAGGAAAAAGGGGAAATTGGCCACCATCCGAAAAGATAATAATATTAAAAATAATAATATTAAATATGCATTATTAAAAAAAAAAAGGAAAAGATAAAAAAAAAAGAAAATATCAAAGAATTATTTTAGAAATGGTCTGGAAACGACTGGGGCAGATAATCCACGGTTATCAGCAATTATTGTTAATCTACTTTTCTGGACCTATCTTAAGTGCCATCGCTGCCATGAACCCTACTACTCCGTACTACCAACCACAACAGTCTCTTTATGCCATCTGGGTCTTTACTACGATCTTGTTGGATAATTTCACTACGGTATCTGGTGGAGGTCTGTACCTTAGTAATAGCATACCTAATATTCAATCCTCAGCCGGGCTCTATCATAGTTCTGTAGACAGCCACACAGGGCGCTTGGTTGCACCTCAATATCTAACCCCATTAGTATCACAACCTCAAGTCTACGTCTCCTAAATAGAGATATCCATCTTGTATCAAATTTCTGCGGCAGCCGCGGAGTACACAGAAGTGACTAAACCCCTTGCGGATCACGATGATGATAGAACTCAGTAACCCAGCTGCTTGCGACGTTGACAGAATTCGCTTATCGTCCAATCCCAGAGCAACACAGGCACATCATCATCTTTATCTCAATGTCGTACCCAAGATCTATGCGCTCCGCAGCTTAGTGAAGCTTATTCCGGTGGCAGGTTACTCCTTAAGTCCGTAGACGCTGAGAGCTGGAAGCTGGAGACCTCAAGAATGTCACTTGCGGCTTCATATCAGACCAGATGACCGCTTCAACATCTTATTGCTTGTGGCAACAGGAGCACGGAGCGCGAACAGTCGTTCTTAATCCAGTACAAATATGGAGTAGCTACTTTCTATACTGGGCTTGTTCTCCTCCGTGGTGTCAACGGTTGTGATCGAATAAAGCAAGTTTTGTGTATGCTTCACGACCACTCTCATGAGAGGGCCGTCAGTCTAGCTATGCTTCCATCCGGAAGATGTAGGTTGATTGCAGGAAGCTCCACAGCCGTCCTTGCTTCAGTTATTTTAAGGAGTAAGTCGAAAATATCCGTCATAGAACTCCGTTTCAAACACTGAGAGATATTTACTCTGTCCACTTCAGAGGAGCCAAAAGAAAAGAAATCGGGAATAGTCATCCTCTACTCCGTATTCCGGTAGATAGGCACTGGACAAATCTACATCGATTGTCCATGATTCTTCGGATTGACCAGCATTTGCAACATCCTGGTCCAAGCTTGCTGCTCAGAACTGATAGCTTGGCAGATCCAGCAGAGGCTGGTTGAAAAAAAAGGGTCCCACTGATTAACTTCTCTGGGAAGGGAAACACTAATTGTTATTGTAGATCTCTTCCAGAAACTGTGCCAAACTGTCGATCAACTTGATTATGCCCGTGTTCCACTGGAGTTGACTGATGGCTGATGACGAGGCGTCAGGGACCTACTCCGTAGTACTAATACTAGTACAAGGTACTCCGTACATGTACGTACCTCACCACAAAGATACCACCTCCGTACCGTCCTACTCACCGGCTATCAGGGCCCCTGTTGGTCTTGCCTCCTGCATTAGATGATGCAGTGTGGCAGTGGATCTATAGATCCATTGGAATCGTCTGCTTGACTGGTTTTCGGGCAACCGTGGAGACCTGGGAACTTATCAAGAACATCTTAGTATACATTGCGATGCTTATCTGACAGATCAAGTATTCGGGGTCGTTGGTAGAGGTAGGGACTCTCTCTAGACACTCCATAGCCTACAAACAAGCAGACAAATACTGCAGACACTCGGACACTCAGAAATCAGATGCTCGTGGGTCCCTGACTGATCGTTTCCAGTTTCATTAGCCATGTCCTTGTTCTCAGCTGGTCCCTGATAGACTACTTTAGGTAGGTGAAGGTTAGTGCAAGCCACAAGAAGTCGGGTACTTGCGACACCAGGGAACCAAGGCGTGATAGCGGCAGGCTCTCAAGCTCATTGGATTGAGATCGCCGCATTCCCCACAGGTAAGGGACCTCGCGGCGGCGCTATGGATAAGTGGCGGGTATTGGATTGCTTGGCTCTCAGACTGCTTGCGTAATGCAGGTGGTGACAAGCAGGTCACTGTTAATTTCGATCAACGCTCGATGTTGCAAGATATTGCCGGTTTGTTGTCGTATCCTTCAATCAGAGTCCATGAATTGATGATGGAGAGTACGTATAACGAAGATCAGGAGGTCGGCAGGAAAATGATCATCCTTGGACGCTTCACTGGCGGTCAAAATAAAACTTACTGTTTCAACATATTGATGAACTGCCTACGAAGAGATCAAATCCTGTTAATAACTTGGCTTCAATAATAGGGCACACAGCTTTTCTGTCAAGGAACTTGCTGGAAGTACCAACTAATAATGTGCCACACCTTCAGGTCTGGGAACCATGAAGTTGGAAAAGGGGCAGGATGGTTAAGAATTTAAGGAATTGGGATATAGAAGTGGATACCTGGCGTTTAACAGCAACCCAAGGAGCTCACCAGCAGCCAGGCGCTCGCCACGAGTGACCATAGTTAGCACTCTGTAAGCGTTTCTTGAGCAATTAGATCTCTCTTGGGTCTTCTGGGTACCTCCACCACCAGGTACACGAAAAGTCCAAACATTAGACCCTTCAATTTCAAATTGACACATCTGATCTTTGCAGTTACTCCGTACCTTGTACTCTGTAGCACTAGAGAAATAGATGCACACTGCAGGTTGCAATAGTAGGTACTCTATTCCATGCCATTTATAAGGTACCATCATACCAAAGAAACAACTACCACAGTGAATTGGTTCTTTTGTCTCGCCTCTTCCACTCCACTTGGCCTCAGAAGTCTGAAGTCTGATCGCTGTTGGCCAGAACGCAAAAAAAAAGTTGAAACTGAACGCTCGAAGGTCGGAACCATTTGCGGGTGTTTCAACTTCTGATTTGGTACTAGCCGATACCTCATCCAGTGATACTGGTTGGGACTTGCCCGCTTTTGAATTTAGCCCCATCTGTCCCACCACCACTATTCTTGTCACATCTTCCAAGTGGGCCAAATCCCAAGGCTCTACGGTATTATCAGAGGGGATGCTTTCAGCAGGAATATGCATACCTTACGGAGTCCCCCCAAGCTAAACTAAGTTTTCGGCTGCGTCTGACACTGTACGTACACCATTTAGAGGACAGCGCTTGCTAAGGCCAGCTTCAGTGTCCACTTTCGCCGACGAACGACATACCTCATCCCAGCCCACGATCTCGCTATCATCTAATTTTCTATTCCATTATTACTATTATTTTGTCCAGTCAGCTCTTTCGTACCTACTACTTACGACTACGTACGACCACGACTCTGCTCACTTGAGCCAGATTATTAGCCCCCTAATCCAACCCGACCCGTGTTTGATCCCCGACCCTTGGAGATTTACGCAATACAATTTCTTTTTATTTCTTTCCGTGTTAAGCACGGAGGACCTCTCTAGTACTCACAGACGAAACTCCATATCCTATCCGCTGCTTTTTCTTTTCCGTCTCCCCTCTCCTCTTCCGTCACATACCTCAACTTCATCCATCTCCCTTCGGTCGAAGCATTGCTTGTTCTCTATTTCGTTTTCAATTTTGGTTCCTGTTCTTTTCATCATTCTTGACCAACTCTAGTCTCACTCGTTAGACCTTTGTTTCTATTTCTCTTCTTCACCTTTCAGCTTCACTCCTGGCCTCTGCGCGCTTTGGTCAGAGCAGCCTTCTACGGCCGCGCCCTTTCGATTTCAAGCAATTCCTTTCCGAGCAGAGTCAACTTTTCACAATGAGTAACGAAGGAGAAAAAGCCAGAGTCTCCGGCGAGGTCTCTCGCCCAGAGCCTACCCTGCCCACCGTCAATCCCGCCGCTGAGAAGTCGGAGCCTCCCAAGCCTACCTTCCACCCTGCCGTCTATGTGAGGTGAGCACAACTATTCAGTTCTTGGTACGACAACGATGAATCAGTCATGCTGAGGCTTTGTTAGTGTCTGGATTGCTTTGAGTTCCAGCGTCATCCTGTTCAACAAGCACATCCTGGATTATGCCCAATTCCGTAAGTGAAATCTGGCCGATTCGCTTAGCCGATCAAGTTTTTCTCATCCAGCCTACTAACGATTTACTTGTCCAGGCTTCCGTAAGTCTTATTCTGTCGTTATATCTCGTCCAGCGAAATCTAATCGTTCCCAGCTATCATCTTGACAACATGGCACTTGGCATTCGCGACTTTCATGACTCAAGTTCTCGCCCGCACAACAACTCTGCTCGATGGCCGCAAGACTGTGAAGATGACTGGACGGGTCTACCTGCGCGCTATTGTACCTATTGGTCTTTTCTTCTCCCTGAGTTTGATCTGCGGTAACGTGACATACCTGTACCTGAGTGTTGCCTTTATCCAGATGCTGAAGGTGAGTTTTTGCTCCGTTCAACTTGCCATGTCGCTGGGCGATAATTGCTGATGACGGTACATAGGCAACAACTCCGGTCGCTGTGTTGCTCGCTACCTGGGCTATGGGAATGGCCCCCGTCAACCTGAAAGTCCTCTTCAACGTCGCTATTATCGTCGTCGGTGTCGTCATTGCCTCGTTTGGTGAGATCAAGTTCGTCTTTATCGGTTTCCTGTTCCAGATCGGCGGTATTGTTTTCGAAGCCACCCGTTTGGTCATGGTTCAGCGCCTTCTCAGCTCTGCTGAATTCAAGATGGACCCTCTCGTTTCCCTGTACTACTTCGCTCCTGTGTGCGCTGTGATGAACGGTGTCACTGCCCTGTTCGTTGAAGTACCTAACCTGACTATGGGCCACATCTACAACGTTGGTGTCTGGACCTTGCTGGCCAACGCTGTTGTTGCCTTCCTGCTCAACGTTTCCGTCGTTTTCCTGGTAAGTAGTGTTCACCAACCTCGCATTCCCCGTTTTGGTCGTTAACACTTGAACGCAGATCGGAAAGACTTCCTCCCTTGTCATGACCCTGTGTGGTGTACTGAAAGATATTCTTCTTGTCGCTGCATCGATGATGATCTGGCAGACTCCTGTTACCCCTCTCCAGTTCTTCGGTTACTCGATTGCTCTGATCGGTCTGGTCTACTACAAGCTTGGTGGCGATAAGATCAGGGAGTACGCTGGCCAGGCCAACCGGTCCTGGGCCGAGTACGGTGCCAACCACCCCGCTCAGCGCAAATCCATCATCATCGGTGCCGTTGTTCTCATCTTCTTCCTGCTGATCGGCTCCATGGCGCCCAGCTACGCTCCCGAGTCTGTGGACAAGGTCAAGGGCATGCTTGGCGGCGCAACTGCTGGAAATGCCTAAAGGAAATGATTCAAGAACGCGGATAAATCTGCATACAGGAAGGGCATGCGAGAATGCTCCTATGAGATGCGGCGACGCAAATACTGCTGCTGGGTGAGACCTATTCGTCACCTGTTGGCGGTAGCAAAATAGAATGCAAGATTCCATACGACAGGAGTCTAGCTTAATACTTTTCATTCACTTTTCATATTGAGGCCCTTTGAAGACAATGTCACTGGCCATATATTTTCTTTACCTCAACCTCTCTTCCGAATTAATGCGTGCTTCCGTTGAGATCGTCCACATGTTTGACCGACTGGCGGCCTAACTCGGCGACATGCAGGGAATGCAGCCGGTCTCGCCTTCCTAGATGCGTTGACATCCAGATGATATGCTTTGACCTTCGGAGGTATTCCCTTCTTTTCCGCATTTTGCATCACGGACATCATCCGTACGGGGACTACAGAGGTTTATTGTTTTTTCCATTTTTATTCTATGAACATTGACTGTCATGTTAGATTAGCACGAGGTTCCGGTGTCGGATGTGTGTTGTTTTCTGTTTCTTCAACTTCCTTCCCGCCGACGTTTTCTTTCCCTTTTCTCTTCTCCCTGTGAATATAGGATACTTCTCATGTGCTACCAAAATAGAGTTTGCTTTTTTCTTGGATGGACGAGAAATGCAATACATTACCTTGTGTTCATCATTATGACGGTCAAGGTCCTTGGTTGGTTGTCTTGCCCTCTTCTCTCCCCAAGGGAAAACTCCCAGCCACGCCGGTGTCAGCCTGAGGCATTAGGCGAGTTTGCAAGGCTCCCAATCGCTTTTCGTTGCGCGCTGCCAAAGCGGGCCTCAGTTACGGACCAATTATGGCCCAGCTGAAACCCTCAGGCCAGCAACAGCCGGATTGGCCAATAATTGTGCGGAGTGGCGCACAGAAGGGGCCGACGCGCGGACAGGGCGTGCATATTCTGACCACTCAAATTGGCTCAATGAGGACGCTGACCCACATTGCATTGACCGGCGTGGTGATCCATCAACCAATAATGCGGCAATCCTTACAGGCCGATCTGGATCTTGTGGGGGTTGCAAATCATTTACGGTATTGTACGGTATGCGGCTGCCGGGCACCGCCGTGCTTTGCATAGCAACACTGCAAGTGCTACAGGGCTTGGCACTGTATCTTACAGTATCAAGGCGAATTCTCTCCGCATCCTCCAAAGAAGCTCTAAGCGACGCAAAAAAGATCCGCATCCGTCAGGGCCTTTTCACGCGTTCTTCCTCCCAAATCTCTCTTCTCTCCGCTGATCCCGTGGATCTAAGTTCTCACACTTCTTGTCATCACGTCTTCTCCCATCACCTTTCCTGTGTTCCTCATCCTTCCTCTTCTTTCGTCCCAATTCCTCTCCTTCTCCTCACCTTCCATCACTCACTCATCTCTCAAACTCTCTCCAACAACACACGACCGGCGTCATTACTTCCTCTTCTCTGAGACCTTGACAACCACCGCCTTCTCCGCATCTCTTGTCTTCTCATCGGTCTTGTCTTCTCATCGGCGTCATTCAACCATCTTGCTCTCATCTGCAGGTTACTCTAGCTTGATTTTTATAGCTCACTTAACAGGACAGAACGCAACAGTTTCGGATTCTCCCTCCTAACCACCTTCGCAAGTCTCTCGCCATGTGCCCAATGCTCCTCAGCGGTCTTGCGGATGGACCCGCCATGGTCCTATCCCCTCGCCAAGAACACGCTTTTGTTCAGTTCCCTCGCCAGTCGCAGCTCGACTCGGCCTCTACCGCGTCTCACAATTCGTCCTTCAGGAATGGCGTGCATTCCCAGGCCTCTTCGTCGTTCTCCAACAATGTTTTCTCCGCACCGAAGCTGGCCAAAACCGCAGCCAGTTCTTCCAGAATTTCGCGCAAGAGATCGCGAGATGAAGCCGAGTTTGAGGAAGCCCTCAATGCTTCGAGCGCGCCTGCAGTGGCCGCGCCAGCGCCAGCGCCCAAGGAGGAGCCTATCTATGGGGAGGGTATGGCACTTATCAATCCTCGCACCGGCATGTCGCTATCTGCAGAGAGCCAGACAGGCACTTGGTACGAAGAACAGCTCGAAAACGCTGCTGCCACGGCGGCTCCTGTCTCGTCGCGGTCCCAGGCCAGTTCGTCCGAACTCCACAGCCGCAAGTCGCAGCGTCTCGACCCATCCGCCTCCCGTGTCGACGACATCACGCTCGCTCACATTCAACGAAGACTTCACAAGACGACCGACGACGACAACCGCCGCCTCCTCAACGCCGGAGCCCGCACCAACCCCTTAACCCCGAACGAACCCCAGGTTGACGACGCAACCCACCTCCTCGGAATCAGCTGGCAACGAATCTCTACCGACGACGTCGACATGGCGGCCGCCGTGCGTGGCTGGAAAAAGTACATTGACAAGCAATTCGCAGCGTACCTTCTGGACTCGCAGATCCTCATGAAGAACCGCGCGCTCAACGCGTACCTGGTCACAGCGCGGCCAATTACTCCTGCTGGACCCGCCATCGCCCCGGCCTTCTATCTGTTCAGCGAAGACCTCAGCCAGGCTCAGCTTGTGGCTTCCTCCTGGGAACAATGCGTGCACAATCTCCGCTCGGTTCCCGTAATCTTTGAGCAAAACCAAGTACTCAACGCCGCAGACAGACAATACAATAACAACAGCAGCGGCCCAGGCGTTCTAGGCCTGAACACCACCACGGAACCGGGCCTCCCGCTCCTGCAAATGATGTGCGCCCAGCCAGTCAGCAGCGACATGTGCGCGGGATTGAACAATAGCGTAGGAATGGCGACGGGGATGGAAATTGATACTTAAAGCAAACAGTTCACCGACGACACAACCGCTAACGACATCTCGACGACGACGACCCAGAGCCGCTTTCCTTCTCGCATTCGCATTTCGATTCCGCATTTTCCGCCGCGGACTTCAACAACCACCTAACCATTTCTGGTAGTTCTTTAACATCTTCGGCCCGTTGTCGTGGTTATTTATCGTAATTTTTGCGTCTCGTTTTTTCGGAGTTGCATTTGTGGGTTCTTTACTTTCTTCTTTCTCATGTGTTATTTCTTTTTTATTCTATCTCTTCCAACATCGAATATGAATTGTTGCAAGTCTGGAATGAAGTCCGGGGGAGGAGAAATAAAACAAGGGTTGTAGTTCACGTCATGCTTTCGTATCTTACCATTTTGCCTGTTTGTGCTTTTTGATTGTGTTTATGCCGATCAATCATCCCATCTATCAAAGAAAAATAGGGGAAAAAACAAATCAAAGAAAGAAAGAAAGCCAATCCTTCAAGAGCGTTGGATGCTATTTGAAATTAAAAAATCTCATTAACTGCGTATATCGTTTTATAATTAGACTCACATGATCACTAGCTAAAGTATATATCGCAGAGGCAAGTTGGACTACCGGCTACCAGGACTCATCTGGCATCGCTTGATAGCTGTACAGGGTATGTAGACAATCTATTTTCCATCCTTCCGTCGGTAAACGTAACCGTCATCGCGGCTCAAAGTTGAATCGTAACAATTTTGTGTTGTGTCGATTTGATTTCCTTCACTGTCTTGCGGCTCCTCCTCAGCTCCGAGGCCAGGGCCGCGAGGCATGTGCTGACCACTGCACTGGCTTGCCCTGCGCTGAAGAGGCAAGGTTGTTGCGAATGATCTAGCCGATCTTCTCGACGATGACCTCGGAGTGACCCTTCGACTGGCTTTCCTCGTCGGTGTGGTGGGCCTTGAGCGAATCCCTGAGGAATAGACCGTCGATTTCTTCAAGGGTCAGATTGGCGGTCTCGGGGTAGAAGAAGTAGATGAGCTAGAGGCCCGGGATTAGTACATGATGGTCAGGGTAAGTAGACGGGGACAGTCGGTTCTACTTACGGGTATGAAGGAGAAGTTAAGACACATGAAGATGAGATAGGTCTTCCAGCGCAGCTTCTCAAGGAGGATGGGAGTGATCATGGCCACGAAGAAGTTCCAGAGCCAGTTTGCGGAGACTCCGATGGATTGTCTATTCGAGGTTAGAATTAGAAGACTACAGCAACGACAAGTGTCACTCGACGCATGGACTTACCCCTTGGTGCGCGCATGTAGAGGAAGGAGTTCGGGTCCGTAAGGCCATGGGATGCAATTGGTCGATGCTCCAAAGATGAGCATGAACAGGAAGAAGAACGCGACGGCCGCCGTCGCCGTGGGCTTTGCCTGGGAGGTTCCTGATCAAATGTTAAGGCGCTGAAGTGCTCGGAAAGGGAGGACTTGAAGATACCTTCAAACGAAAACAGGATGGCAAGCATCAACATGCAGAAGCCTAGACCGAATGATCCCCACATCATGGGGTTTCGACGTCCAAGGCGATCTGCATACAGTGTAGGATACAATGAACCTAGAGCGATATGATTAATGTGTTGCGTCTTGTGCACGAATATTTCGAGGTAAATCCTACCGATGACAAACATGATCTGAATCACTCCACCAACGAGCGAGCTCGTCTTTGCTGTAAGGCCAACATTGTCCTGCAAGACTAGGTAATGAGTCAGAAAAGCTCTACCCCCTATTTGGAAACAGCAGTCTGATTCTCACCTGTTGTAACGTAGAACTGGCTTCTTGTCAGCTTGAACAGCCTGCAAACGTGCATCCGGGTCACTTACAACGATGATATTGGTACCGCCCATTTGGTTGATGAACTGGAGCCCATAAGCCATAAGGACCCGTCGACCAGTTTGCAAGTCATCTCTCTTGAGGAAGATTTGAGACCATCTGTATTCTCCACGCGCGCTTTCCAACTCGAGTGCTTGTAAAATTCCTTCAGACTCGGCAAGGACCTTCGGGTGATCAGGTGCCCGGTCATACACCTCACACAAAACCTGCAGTGCTTCCTCGTTACGACCTTTCCTGTATAACCACCGGGGACTTTCTGGGAGCCTGTCACACCAGTTAGATCTGACCAATATAAATTCAAGTGCAGTTGTACGCGGAACCGGCTGACTTACCCAGCGACCAAAATGACTACAAGCACGGCGAATATCTCCTGACAAGCGATAGGTAATCGCCAACTGATTGACCCTGTAACATAGGTCATACCATAGTCAAACCAATAGGCGAGGACAATCCCAACCCCAACGGCAAGCGGTAGGCTGCACACAAATTTTCCCCGTTTCCGCGCCTCACATAGCTCCGCTTGGTAGACAGGCACTAATGTTGACATAATACCAGTGCCGATACCGTTGACGAAGCGGGATATGAGTAACTGCGTTAGGGAGTATGAGCATGTCTGGACCGTACCACCGACCTATAGAGCCAGGCAGAATTAGTCGCTTCCCATCTCATTCATTCATCCGCGGGCGGCACTCACCACTACATAGACCATCGAAAACCACATAGACTTTTGAAACCCAAGCCTGTCTGTTGTCATGAAGGCAATAAAAGTACCGAAGAAGCAGCCCAGATTGTAGATAGACACTAGGAATCCGAGCATGCCCGCGCGGGGATGGTTGACGATGTTCAGAAAGTCTTCATTGTTGATGATTCCGGAGAAGACACCCTGATTGTAGCCTGGATAAGGACAGAGTTAGCACACCAACCGTCAATTTGTAAGGCTTTCATGGTATCCCACCAAATAGGACAAATGCAATCTGACAGGTGATCAGAATCGCCATCCGGAGGCCTAGCCCTCGACTATACATCTTGATCTTAGCCATGCTGCGAGTGGAAAGACGCGATGAGACGTCGGGAAGGAGAATCGGTTCAGAAGATGCTCCAATGGATAGTTAATTAGGAAGTATTTATGTATGCCACACGATGCAATATAGGGGGGGCACGAGTGGATGATGCAGGCCATGCAGATCTACGACATACCTGCTACAACCCGGGAGCTCGGGCGCGCACAGCGCGGAGCTTTACTGCTCTCCCAACGAGTTTAGTCCTCCCAAAAGTCCATTGAACCATTCGAGACGGTCACAGGCGCAATGCTCCATACCAGATTCCGCGGAAATCGGGGAAACTCTCACGGCTATGCTAAAGATGGAATCAAGGAGGAAATGGTGATCGAGAACTCCAAGGAAAGGTAGGCAGCATCAGGCGGGATCGCAGATTTGGTCCTATCATTGTAGTCCGTGAGTCGCCTTTTCCTTACGCATTCCTGAAGTTCAATGGGGGCTCCGAGCAGAGTCCGAGCTTGGACGAGAAAAAATCTTCCCAGCAAGTCTCGAGCAGCCCAAGAATAAGACGTGCATCATGCTGAATCTTATTTGCATACTCAAGGTCCTTTTTGACATCACTCTGTGCCATGATCACAGGCAAAAAGCAGGTTGTGGACTGAAACAGAAAAGGGTTGCCTTTGAGGTTGGACACGACACCATCACTCGACGCACTTTAGGATATCATACGACTTCTCATCACGGTTATCTTTCTTTCCAAAACTTCCGGCAGGGGTGACCCCTTGTTCTGGTGAGGGTCCGCATCAGCTAGATCTGTCCTAGCCGTTAGACAAAGTCCCATTATAGAAGCTGGAGCCAGAAGGCGATGATCACAAGCATATAGTTCAGTCCTTATTGCTGTGGAATGGCAAAGAAAGCTTGTGTGGGGCAGTCGTACTTGAATGCACAATGACGCCGAGTCAAATGAGTGAGCTTCTGACAGTACTTTCGTGACGGTGATGGATGATGGGAGAGGAAACTGGTGGGAAGTGGTTGACAAGAGGAATCTCACCGTGTACTACTCTATCCACACCCATCACAACCACGTGACGAAGGCAGCGCAATCGTGGTTCCCATAAAACTACAAAAATAATACATCAGATGAAGCAGAATTGTCTTGTGAATCCAGGAAAATATATACATACAAAGTGCTGCACATTTTGCCCGCATATCGTGTAATTGGGATAGAAGGGCGGACTTTTGGAGCAGCGCCAATTTCCCCATGGGGAGTAGCCCTATTGCGCATGGAATGTGGACGGCCAAAAATAGCTAGATTCCATATTTCATAGTGGGCTGTTCGTGGTAGACGATCTTCTGCCACTCTAAATAATGATTGACTAGTACTGAACTCTGATTGATGGCTGGCTAGCTACAGGGAGGCGCTCATTCCTACTGACGATCGATTACCTGGTCAAGTAACTCGATACTCCGGGACGGGCAAAAGGTGATCGCTGATCAAGAGACTGGAAAAAAATCTCCGCACTCCGGCAGCAGGTCGAGAGGCTTTTATTTTTGATCTTAATAGATCCTCAACGGTCCTGCATCTGACCGTCTAGCTCTAGACTTGGTGCTCAGAGGATAGGTGCATAAGATCAGATGCATTTCAAAGCTTGCGCCACACACCGCGCTTGTCTCAGTTCTACCTAATCGCTGCCATAATCACTTTCATCGTCGTAGTAGTCGCCATACTGCCCTGCAAAGGCAGCATCGACACCGTCCGGGTCCTCCTCATAGTCATCCTCCTCGTCGTCGTAGTCGTCCATTTCTTCGTCCGGAATCTTTTCTGACTCAGGTGCTGGTCCGAGCACCTCCTCGTTGGTATGTGCGCGTTCAATTTTGCCAACCTGTACTCCCGGCTGAAGGGGTTTCTCCCCTGGAAACTGTGCGGGCCTCGGAGGGGGAGCGGGAGAGGCGGCAGGCTTGGCAGGTGCCAGTGAAATCGCCCGCGGTTCCACACTGGCACTGCGGCGTGAAGCCACACTCTGGCTTCGACTCCGGCTCCTGCTCATACTCTCCGCCTTGGCCTTGGCAGCCTCGTCGGCCCCTTCATCGCCGAACAATGACTCCAAAAGGCGATAGTTGATCTTCTTACTAAACCCTCTGCGTTCGAGCATGCGACGAGTTGCTTCGGCCGGAGTAGATGCCCTGGTGCTTCTGCCATCCGCATCATCCCCGTCCCCTTCAAGGTAGGTGACGTCTCCCAGCCTGCCCCTTCGGCGTTTACGAGGCTTACGCATTCCTGGCTGGGAGTCTGCCTCCGCCAGGGCTCGTTTCAAGGCCTTGGCTTGTTGTGTCCGCAAGTAGTCCTTGTTCTCGTGCACCCAAATTCGTTCTTTGATTTCAACTTCGGCTGAAGATAGAAGACAGTTGGCGACCTCAGGATCATCTTCGAATTCGGAGGCGTCAATTTCTGCTCGGTCAGAAACTTTGTTCTCTTGCTCCTGGCCCGAAGCCACACTCTCAATCATGTTAGAGCCTTTCGATAATAGAGCCGTCATCTCATTTTCAAGGGCTTCCTCCGATGCAATCTGATCAGGGGTTGGCGGCGGCAGCTTCGGTCGTTTGGGCGCAGCAGGGCGAGCCGATTTTGCTATTGCCGATTCTTGTCCAACTTCCGATACAACCTCGTTGAGCACAGAGGTTACTGATGCTCGCCGTCGGCCACTGTCCGCCGTGGTCAGCGCCGGGTCAATGGGGAGACTAGGAATAGCGAAGCCATCAGCATCAAGACGCCTTGGCTCAGCAGGAGTCGCGTCCTGCATGTCTCCCTCGATCTCAGCCGCGGTGTCCGAGGCCTTTCTTTTTACGCTTCGTGATGGCTTTCTTCCCTCTCTGGCTCTGGTAAAGGAAGGGGGATCATGTGCATTCTCCAGTTGCACAGAGCGAAACTGATCGACCGTAAGCTCAGCGCTCTCCGTTGAGCTAAATTCATTCAAACGCTGGTTAATGGTGATTTCGGTGACTTTCACCACATAAACGACCTCACGAACGGTTCGACGAAAATTGTTCATTCGAGCTGCAAGGATCAAAGCAGCGCCACAAATACCGGCCGGACGTCGACCGGTAGTCATCCAATCACGGTTCATTCGCTGAACAATGCGCACTGCCTCGCTGGCAACTTGCATCGTCGCAGTCCCAAATTCGAGTTGCTTGGCGAACCGATAGATCAAACTCTCTGGATCGATCGGGTTCATCAAAAAGACATTACCGCCAAGACGTAGTTCATCTAGTAGGGCCTTGTAGGTTCGACCGAGTTTGAATACATTGACCTAAACGGAGTTAGCGAGTGTACGGACCCAGAATCTAATTGCCGTAGATTACTCACCATCAGTACGTCGGCAAAATCAATAAGCATGACAGTGTTTCCATCTTGTCGTCGACAGGCGATATACAGACAGACAGCTGCAACCGTCTTCGTCCGACGACCTTGGATGAAGTTTAAGCCGACAGCGAGCTTGAAAACTTGACCAGCGGCTTTCATGGCACTCTCCGGGATGTTCAGAGCACGACTTAGTTGGTTTATATAACGAGTTCCTTGCCAAAGTCAGCACGAGCTAGTCGAAAGATGAGGGGCAAGGAATACCATACCGTTTTGTTCTGTGATTTCTCGACTCTCCATAGCACCTCCTCGTTGAAAGCCCGGTCCATAGCTGCGGACATGGGTTTGGTCTTCACCGACGAACGTTCCTTGAACGACCGCTGCACCCGATGATGTTTCACCGAAAGTGACTTCGGAGACAATATTTGCCTCACTAATGACAGTACCACAGCCCGAGCAAACCTTTTGACCGTCATCCTCCACAATATGAGGAGCTGGACATCCAGGATTGGGACATGTAGTGGTCTTAGGATGGGTAGTAGGCCTGGCGGCCTGGGGGCGTGCGATTGGTTGAGGCCGTTTAATCGGAGTCGGAGTAGGAGCCTTGAGGCTCGCCAAACGGCCTACCGGCGGAGCTCTCGGACCACTCCTAGGGGTCATGGAGGGACGCATGTTAGGTCTAAAGGCAGACATCATGCACAACGTGGTGTTATCGGAGGAGAGGCTGAGTTGAAATTGACCAAATAACCTTAGACTGGAAGGTGTACCTCAGATAGGCGGGGCGTTGAGCATAACGGACAAGGGTTTACGAAGAAGCAAACAACGTGCTATAGATCAGTCCTTGATAGTAAGAGTACAACAATTGTGCTCTGAACCTCATATACGGCGCCGTTGAGTGGACCAATCACGAAAAGGAGGGTCGAGTCTTAGAGTTCCAAAAAGGGAAAAAAATAGTGGGCTGGGGGAAGGAAAAATGTCCAGAGAACCGGGAAGGAGACAAGTGAGCAAGCACTCCGAGGTCGACCAGAATAGATAACAATTATATATGGGATATTTTGAAATTATCGAACGAAAGAGCAAGAGCCACCAGTCATAACCCCCAGTAACAAATGAAAAATAGGGACGAAGGAAGTCTCGATGGCGGGTGAAGACGATGAAGAAGGATGAGAAGAACACGAGATTTGCTGGGCGGCGACTTTGGACGCGTCAAATTTTGTCCGGATCAGTCACGGTGGCCCAGTGGGATTGTCACGTGATATAGTGCTTCAGGGAGCGGCGGTTCGATTCTCGGGGAGAGAACATTTTATAGAATCAATTGAAGGCAGTTTAAGAAGTCATTTCGGTTTAACGGCGGACCTTCCATTCCATTTTTAATTGTGATCCATTACTGTTCTAACCCCTGACTTCAAGGACCTGTACTCTACCGACAAAGAAGAGATCGATCTCACCTTATAGATATGAAGACTCCGTACCTTAGTCTAATATCCCCGTCGTCATTTTCCTCGCAAGATGTCGGAATTCATACTATAGGTAAAGAGTACAGCTGTAGGTATCGTACGGAGTACTCCGTACAGCAGATCTAATCATTATCAAATTAGCTTGTCGCTAGAAGTGGTTCCTCCCCGGATTCAATGGATGTTCGCCACTCGGTTCTACTCCGTCGGTTCCGTTCCGTCACCAGAGATTAACATCACAACTGCAACGATGTCCACGAGATAGCCTTTCAAGGCCAATGAAACACCATCAGATGTGTTTGGCTGGGCCTCTTGCATTCCAGGGGAATCATGGGACTGACGTTACCTTGCGCTGTGGTATGCCGCGAATCCACCATTGAATCATATTTGGGCCTTCCGTTACGATGCGAGATTTGTGCGTGGTTTAGTGTATCTTGGAGATCCACACTTTGGAGCTTCAGGATGAACTACGCATAAAAGTCGCATTTTCGCCTCGTTTCGACTGCAATCGTCTACGTCAAACTTACTCTTTATTAATGATGAAGAATCTGTATTCCGAAGGACTCCTAGATAGTCATTTGTCATCAGTTGCACTTCAAAAAGCATGCGATCCCCTGTTCCCGCTGCTGCACTTCAGTATCACACATGCTCTTTTCTTTCATACTGCACACTCTCATCATCATTGACAGGACATACAGCTTGTACAAGATCTGTCGAAACTGCAATTGCAAATAGAAATCCCGGCTGACTGGCGTTGCCTTTACCGATTTGCCATTGTCCATCTGGGGCAGCCTGACCGTACCCAACCTGGGCTATCGCCTTTCTTTCAGGTCTTCTGAGTTGAGCATACATCTTCCTCTGAAATCTGACACCGATAACCATGCCTACGGAAACGAGGTCTCTTCCAGCTTCGTCCCCTGTAGCGTCGGATGCACGTTGCCTCACAAGCGTGTTTTTCGTTGGCAATGTGCATTGCTCTTCGTGCGTCGCGTACATCACCGAGGTTCTCTCAGAAGAACCAGGGGTGGAAAACATCTCAGTTTCTATCTTGACGCATGAAGTCCGCGTGCTGCACAGCTTAGACTCGAAGCCAGCAGACTTAGCCAGGGCCCTCCTTCGAGCAGCCTTCGAAGTCCATAATGTTACCACATACGATTATGATGGCACGGTAATCTCCGATCTTGATACAACCTCAGAATCTGGAGTTTTCTCTGCCCTCCATTCCCCTGCATCCGCCTCGGCTTCCGAAAACAGGCGGCATATCCTCAATTGCGATGCTTGCAGGAAAGAAGAATTGGAGCGACAGACAGCAGCATCAGCAGCAGCAGCAGCGGAGACATCAAAAGAAGCTACTGCGACTCCTTCGACAAATGTCAAAGCCCAAAACTGCTATGACGTTGAGAGTCCTGTTCCTCGAAAGTCTCTAGCAGATGCGAGTAGCTCAACCGTCGTGAGTGACACTCAGCAGGTGCTTTCGCCGGGTGATAAAGAGTTCAATGCTCGTATCAGCATTGGTGGGATGACTTGTGCATCGTGCGTCAATACTGTTACAAAAGAGGTCCAACAGCTCGACTTTGTCCGTGAGGTGACCGTCAATCTTCTCACCAATAGTGCAACGCTGCTCTATACAGGCCCTCAAACAAACATCGACAAGATTGTTGACCTGATAGAAGACATCGGTTATGAAGCTTCTGTGGACGAAGTCGAGCCGGTCGTTACAACGGCACATTCGTCTCCAGCCTATCTCGCCGAAATTGCCATTGGTGGAATGACCTGTGGCTCCTGTTCTGCGACCATCACCCGAGGGCTTGAAGAAATGCCCTTTGTGACGGAAGTTTCTGTGAATCTCCTGGCTCACAGTGGCAGAGTTCAGTTTGTGGGACGGGAAAATGTCGATGCCATTTTGGAGAAAATTGATGGCCTTGGTTACGAGGCCTCGCTCGACAACATCCAACCTGTGGTCGTGAACAACGAAGAGGATAAAAACCAGAAACGGACAGTCTCAATTCGCGTGGATGGCATGTTCTGCCACCATTGTCCGAAGCGGGTTCTCGACTCTTTGAAGGTGTTTCCCGACGTGGAATGCGAACGAACATTGTCCCTCAACAACAACGTGCTGAAAGTTACATATACGCCTGACCCTCCTTCGTTGACAATCCGGGCCATCATTCAGGCCATTGAGTCAGCGCATGATGCTTTCCAGGCGTCTGTCTTCCATCCTCCGAGTCTCGAAGATCGATCTCGTGCCATGCAGCTGCACGAACGTCGCCGATTGCTAATGCGCTTTACCTTTGTTTTGCTGGTGGCGATCCCAACTTTCTTGATCGGCATTGTCTTCATGAGCCTTGTGTCATCGAATAACGGGGTTAGGAAATATTTAGAGCAGCCGATGTGGACTGGAAGTGTCTCCCGGATGGAATGGGCCCTCTTCATCATGACCACGCCAGTCATGTTCTATGGCACAGACATTTTCCACGTACGAGCCATGAAAGAGATATATTCACTTTGGCGACCAGGAAGCCGCACTCCAATCCTGCGAAGATTCTATCGCTTCGGCAGCATGAATCTTCTGATTTCCGCTGGCACCACAGTGGCCTACGTGTCTTCGTTGGCTGTTCTCATCATGGATGCTGCCGCGAACTCATCCACCAGCAGCCACAGCACAACATATTTCGACTCGGTGGTATTTCTGACGTTGTTCATCCTCGCTGGTCGATTCATGGAAGCCTACAGCAAGGCGCGGACAGGAGATGCAGTTGCGTCTCTTGGAAAGCTCAGGCCCTCTGAAGCAATATTGGTCGAAAAGTCCACCCCTATCGATCAGACTGGATCTGGAGAATCATCGTCGCTTGAGAGTCAACAGCGAATTGCAGTTGATCTCCTCGAAATCGGAGACGTTGTCAGCATCCCTCACGGCGCCTCCCCTCCCGCAGATGGTGTCATCATTGGTCCGAATATCTACCAGTTCGACGAGAGTTCCTTGACTGGAGAATCCAAGTGGGTGCAAAAATCAGCGGGTCACCAAGTTTTCACGGGATCTGTGAATGTTGGCCAGCCCGTGAAAATCAAGATTACTGCCCTCGGCGGTTCTTCCATGCTGGACCAGATCATCAACGTGGTCCGCGAGGGACAGAGCAGACGAGCTCCTCTGGAAAGGGTTGCAGACGTACTCACATCCCATTTCGTGCCCGTGATCACTCTCATAGCAATCCTCACATTTATCATCTGGCTCTCTCTCGGGCTTTCTGGAGCGTTGCCCCCGGACTACCTTGACACAGCACGGGGTGGCTGGGCTTTTTGGAGCCTAGAGTTTGCAATTGCTGTGTTCGTTGTTGCCTGCCCCTGTGGGTTGGCCCTTGCTGCCCCTACAGCCCTCTTTGTGGGCGGCGGGTTGGCTGCCAGACACGGCATTCTCGTCAAAGGCGGAGGAGAGGCGTTCCAAGAAGCGAGCCGCCTCAACGCGATCGTCTTCGACAAGACTGGTACTCTCACAGAGGGCGGTAGTCTAAAGGTGTCTGATCATGAAGTCCTTGCTATGGACGCTGATCAGATTCAAGTCGCCTGGAAGCTTGCTCAGCAGCTGGAGGAAAGCAGCAATCACCCAATCGCTCAGGCGGTTTCTGCTTTTTGCAAGGGGCGCTCGGAAATTCCCGTCGTAGCCTCCGACATTGAAGAAAAATCCGGACGAGGCATGATGGGCACCTTCACCGTCTCGATCAATGATCCTGCATCAAGCTCCTCGACGACAGTAGTCTATGAAGCCGCGATTGGCAACGAGGCTCTTCTCCAGAGCCTTACTTCTGCGGTAGACACTTCCCGTCTTTCTGATCTGCTGAAGGAGTACCAGTCCGCAGGAAAATCCACTGCCATCCTCTCCCTCCGCAAAATCGAGCCAACGTCCACACACAAACCCTCGTTCACGCCCGCGATTGTCTTTGCCACAACTGATGCGATCCGCCCACAGGCCTCAGAACTCATCTCTCAGCTCCGCAAGCGGAACGTCGATGTCTTCATGTGCACAGGGGATAACCAAACCACCGCCTACGCCGTCGCAGACATGGTCGGCATCTCCCGGTCCAATGTAATGGCCAACGTTATGCCAGCCGGCAAAGCGGAGTTTGTCCGCAAGGTCCAGGACGGCCTGTACCCCGTCCGAAACGAAGACGAAGCCGAAAGTCAAACGAACCGATCCGGCTCACGGTCGATCGTCGCCTTCGTCGGCGACGGTGTTAACGACTC